GCACAAAAGAAGTTATGTGCCGTATATGGAGATGAAGCCTTAAAAGAAAGGCAGTGTCGAAATTGGTTTGAAAGATTTCGTTCCGGTGATTTTTCACTGAACAATTCACAACGATCTGGCCGCCCAGTCGAAGTGGATGAAACCCATATCAAGGCCATTATCGATTCAAATCGTCACAGCACAACACGAGATATTCCAGAGAAGCTCAATGTGTCACATACATGCATTGAAAAAAAAAACTAAAAACCCTTGGTTATGTCAAGAAACTTGATTTATGGATCCCTCACCAGTTAAAGGAAATTCATTTGACGCAACGGATTAGCATCTGTGCTTCGCTACTGAAACGTAATGAGAATGATCCATTTCTGAAGAACCTTGTTACTGGCGACGAAAAGTGGATAGTTTATAACAATGTTACTTGCAAGAGATCATGGGTGAAGCAAGATCAACCAGCCCAAACAGTATCAAAAGCAGAGATTCACCAAAAAAAGATTATGCTGTCAGTCTGGTGGGATCACAAAGGAAGTTTGTATTTTGAACTCATGCCGCAGAACCAAACGATAAATTCAAATGTGTATGTTGAACAACTCGAAAAACTGAAGGATGCAATTGAAGATAAGCGGCCGGCATTATCAAATCGGATGGGTGTTGTTTTCCATCATGATAACCCAAGGCCCCACACATCTTTGGTTACTCGGCAAAAATTATTGGAACTGGGTCGGGATGTTTTCTCACACCCACCATATAGCCCTCACCTTGCGCCTTCGGATTACCATTTGTTTCGTTCCATGCAAAACTCTTTAAATGGTAAAATTTTTAACAACGCGGATGATGTCGGATCACACCTAATTCAGTTTTTTAATATCAAAGACCAGACATTTTACGAACGGGGAATTTTTACTCTGCCAGAACGATGGAAAAAAGGTCATCGACAAGAACGGCCAATATCTAATTGAATAAAGTTATATTTTTAAACAAAAATTCCGAATTTGCCTTCTTATTTGAAATCGGCAATGACTTAGTTGCCAACCTAATATATACATATATATTGAGATTTGATCTAAATACATACTCTCTCCAGGGTTATCGGATCTATTGTACGCGGTTCCCAACACATTGCACAGGGAACTTACATGAACAAAGTCATCGGACACGCGGTTGAAGGCCACTCCACTTGAAGTGAGCACACGGTTGACATGATTTCTGAGTCGAGGCATATCCTGCTCCACAATATGAGAGGAGAATTGTGGATCACCTCCACCCTCCACATCAGGGGCCGCACCTCCTTTTGAACCACTACAATCACAGGGACTACCCGGCCATCGACCATTCTCCTCATAGAACCCCGCCGCTCCACGTAGCATGAAGTACCAGAGCATTGCGTCGTTACCTTCATACGAGGGAATTAGATCTGTGGAGAGAATGGGAGAGGGGAGGGGGTAGGTAAATATGTAAGCCAAAAGCTCTCAATTTCGCTCGTCCGATACGGAAGTATGGACACCAGCACACAGGCAAAATGAGCACACAATGGGAAAGCTGAACATGGGATCAATGGTTAGGTCACGACGTAACCTCAATTCACGATGGGTAGACGGTTGTGGCGGCTATGGTGGCATGATGGCTGCTTTTGCCAACGTTTTAGTTGATCTTCGCTTCCTGGTCCTTATGCCCATGCTTGAAGTGGCCTTTCATATTTGGTTGCCTAACATACACTACGTGCCATAATAAAAGTCTGCTTAGAGCACGTGACCTGCATTGCGGTTGTTGACAATGGCAACAAACTGATTTTATCACAATAACTAAACGTGGACAACAAAGATAAGTTACATCCCGTCAAATATCTCTTTTAATTCATCGAACATGTTCAATGACTGAACGAAGTTCCTCTCCTGGACACTCAAACCTCACCAATGAGAATGCTGGCGCAGTGCTCCCCACTTGATTTGCGATGAAGAATCCTGGATTCACTCTCACGAGACACTTCCAGTCTCCGCGCTGTGACGGGTATACTGACTAATCCTGGATAAACAGGTGCTGCTGCATTTTCTTAATAAAATGAATATGTCCTCTGAACCATAGGCTGCAGGAAAACCAAATTTGAGGATCGTCAGGTTATTGGAGCTATTAATATGCAGAATGATAATTGCTCACAGGGGGTGTGTGATAGACTTACCTCCACGTGGTACACCCTGGGTAACGTATACTCATACGACAAAAAAAGTCGATTAACCGGCAGTTGACTTCTGACCTCTAACTACCATCACCCCACTGTATGCCATATTCCACCATTTCAACAGATCTCACCTTACCTTTTACTCAACCTTTGTGCCTGTCTGTCTCTTTTACATCTTTGAAACACTCGTCTGCCGCCCCCCTCTCGACTTTTTGTCACTTTGATGTTCCCCCCCCCCCCCCCCCCCC